ATAGACACATAGATCAATGGAACAGAATTTAGAGATTAGCAAATAAACACTCACATTTATGGTGAACTGATTTTTGACAATTGTGCCAAGATCACTCATTGAAGAAAGTAGTCTCTTCAACAGTCACGCTAGGGAAATTAAATATCCACATGCAAAATAATAAAACCTTATCTCACACAATGAACAAAAATTGACCTAAAATGGATTAAAGATCTAAACATAAGATCTAAGACTATAGAAAACACAAGGATAAATTTATATGACCTTAGGTTTGGCAATGGTTTCTTAAATATGACACCAAAAGTATAGACAATAAAAAATAGACAAATTTGACTTCATTAAAATTAAAATATTTTGTGCTCCAAAGGATACTATCAGGAAACTTAAAAGACAACCCACACAATGGGAGAAAATACTTGCAACTCATTTATCTAATAAGGGTTTCATATCCAGAATATGTAGATAATTCCTACAAGTCAACAAAATAGACAACCCATGTTTTTAATGGGCACAGGACTTGAATGGACATTTGTCTAAGGAACATACACAAGTGGCTAATACACACATAAAAAGATGCTCAACATCATTAGTTATTAGATGCTCCTATGTCAATGTTCATAGCAGCATTATTCAAAATAACCAAAAAGTGGAAACAACCCAAGTGTCCATCACGAATGAGTGAACTTACATATAATGTTTATACATACAATGGACTATCATTCAGTCATAAAAAGGAAGGAAGTTCTGAAACATTCTACAACCAAAATGAATCTTGAAAACAGTATACAGTAAAATAAGTCAGACACAAAAGAATAAATATTATGATTCCATTTATATAAAATATCTAGAACAAGCAAATACATAGAGAAGGAAGGTACATAGAGGCTGCTGGGGACTGGTAAGGAGGAGAGATTAGGGAGTCATTGCTTAATGGGTCAAGAGTTTCTGTTTGGGGTGAAGAAAAATTTTGGAAATGGTGGTAACAATTACACAACTTTGTAATTAATGCCACTGAATAGTTCAATTAGCAGTGGTTAACATGGCAAATTTTACTTTGTATATATTTTATCACAAGAAAAACAGAGCAAAGAAAAGGTGTAGAAGAGGGTATCTAGTGAATTATCTTTTGTCTTTGTATTTGCATAAAGAAACCCAGGGAGAATATATATGACACTAAAATAAGTGGCTACTTAGGTAACATGAACATTCAGCCCATCTACACTAATCAAATTGTACCTGTTAAAATATAGAAATATTCTGTCCTGGTTGATATGTGCTCACTCCCCAATTCTCTGAATTCTCTCTAACTCTGCTTTCATCCCTGGATACGTGACTGCCCCATGATCCAGCAAGTGAAGAGTTAAGCATGGCAGGGGAGGGGTCTGGCAGGGGAGGGAGGAATGACTGACTGGAAAGACTACTTTGCATACTAAACCTTTTAATATTCTTTTGATTTGTGAGTCATGTAAATATATACATTACCTATTTTATAACAAAAGTTTAAAACTAAAGGAGGAGAAGGAGGAAAACAAAACAAATGCTCAGAGAATTGAAATTCTTGTTAAGAGGCTTAAATATAAAGGGGTGAGAAAGAAGATGAGATTAGATATACAAATTTGGGCCAGATACTAAGGGACCTCTATTTGGCATTCATTAATTTGACTATTTCTATGGCGCTGATAAACCATTTAGGTATTTTTTGTTTGTTTAATAAAGGGAGTCACTTGAACAGATTTTTGTGTTAGAAAAATAATTCTGAAAACTGTGTAAAGAATGTACTGAAGAGAGAAACTAAGAGTGGGGAGGGCAGAGATGATGAGGAAAGAGGTAATGAGATGGAAATAAGTTATGGTCAGAAGATACTGAAGAACCATCTAAGGGTCGTACTAAAAAAATAGTTAGCTTGGGGGTTGAATTTTATTTTATTTTTTTTAAAAAGGAAGAACAAAAGATGACTAAGATCTCTAGCTTAGTTGACTAAAGGGGTGAATTATGACCTTTAATGGGGAAATTCTAAATGGGAAATTATTCAGAATTTTGATTGTGAAATGTGAATATATTAACATGGCAAAGATAAAGCATGACGTAATGTGGATTTCAAACAAAAAGTTACTATGAAAATGGTAATGCTTTGTTTTCCACTTTATTTAGCAATGACTAAGAGAAAATATACTAAATTTTACAAGGAAAAAAAGAGTATCTTTATACATAAATGAAGGTCTAAAATCAAAGAGTAATACTGGAATATGATACAAAGGGTATTTTGTGCTGATTTTTACAATTTCTTTTTTTACTCTGATAGGTGTTAGACATATAGAAGAGTTACTTCCCTTCTCTCCCTCCACAGTTAAACTTCAAGAAGTAGTCTATACCCATATTCATCATACCCTTAGCTTACATTTATTCCTCAATCTACTTTGCCAGTCTGCCCAATTTCTATGAGTGAAGTGGCTGTTGTTAAGGGCAGCAGAGGCCAACACATGACTAAATCATCCCATGTAAACTCTCTGTTGCATTGGCATAGACAGCCCATCCTTCTTAAAATGTTTTCTTTCTTTGGTCTCTAATGCTACACTTTTCTGATATCCTTTAATCTTCTAAGATAACTTCTTCTCAACTTCCTTTGATGGCTTATTCTCCTCTACCCAGCCATTACTTGGTGAATTTCTCAGGAGTTGGTCATAGCGTTTCTTCTCTTCCACATTCTGCTTTCTTCCAAGAGAGTTCACCACATCTGTGACTTCAGTTTCCAACTACAGTATAATGTCAGTGATCCCCGGTCCCCACCCAGCCCTTTACTTCAAATCTCTGGGATGGACATTTTCTCCAGACTATAAGCACAAATAACCCAATGTTTCTCAACCTCTCAATGTGAATGTCTCAAATATACCTCAAACTAACCATGTCCAAATAATCACCCTCTTAATCAAATATGATCCTCTTCTAATGTTCTTATCTTAATGAAATTATCATTCAGCATTCAATGCACAAGTCAGAAACTTAGTAACATTCTTAACATTTACCTTTTATTAAATCCTCATATCTGTTTCTTCCAAAGAAGACCAAAGCATGTCAATTATTACCTCCTAAGTATTTCTTACATCTCTGTATTTCTTTCCATTTGTACTGTCAAAACCCTAGTCCAAATTGCCAGCATTCCTCTCCTGGATTGTTGTAAAAACTTTGTAAGTATTCCAACTAAAATGTTGCCATCTATAATCTGAAAAAAATACTGGATGGAAAATTTTAAGTCCTCACATCTGTGAAGGAAGCATAGTAAACTCTGAAATTTTCAAAATGCCTATAGAAATGATGATAATTATTCAAATACACAACAGAAACATCTATCCACATTACACATTATCATTAATAAATACCATCCTGTTTAGAGTAAGTGGTTTGAGAATTGGTAGAGAAAAAAGATGAATGATGAGCACTATTTCCATTTTGCTACATCTTCTGCTCTGTATCTGACCTTTCAAAACCAGAGTATCCGACATGACATTTCTCACTCAGTCTTTTCCAGATTGTTTTGGGGTCATCTGAAAGCCTGGGAAAGCTCTGATGTGCTTCTCCAATACGGGTAAGAAAGTCTTTCGTATGAAGATATTCATCTATTTTCTCTTGGAGTAGAAGTGACTCCAGTAAAGTCTTTTTCTGTTTCAGGAAGGCAGATAGGGCCAGTTCTGCTCTTTTCTTGTTACAGTCGGGACAATGAGAAGAAATGTGTTGCTTATCTGTTGCCACCTGTTTGGATGTTGTCCTCATGTTTTTAAAATAGATTCTGTTCAAAAGCTCATCAGGGACCGTACAGTTTAAGGCATCTATCTCTGGGGCCTCTGCATCTGATCTAAGCTGCAGCTTTTTATGTCGGTTGCTCTTTTTCCCCTTAGAGTTCACTCTGTGATGGATCAGGTTTATTTTAACGGCACAGAAAGACTGAAGAGCATTCAGTTCTTCAAGAGATGCCTGAGTGATTTCTGTTTGAAGTTTAGTGTTTGGTTGGTACTGTCCAGAGTTCGTTTCCTTGCCCTTGAGGTTATTGATCCATTTTCTGCTCAACTTCTTTTCACTATTTTTTAAGTCTGAAAGCTCAGATTGCTTGTCTCCATATTCCAAGCATGTAGCCGGTGTTCCACTCCCAGGTTTGCTCCCAGGGGCACAGGACGAGGGCTGCAGTCCTTCAGAGGTGCTGAATGAACAGGAACTCTGTACCTCATCAGTAAAGGACTCGAAGGTCTCCTGCGAAAGGTCCGCCATAGTCTTGATGCCCGTTTGGGCCCGTTCCCCTTGCTGCTCTGAATCCTCGGACTTCTAGGCAGAAGGCCATCGCATTGCATCACGCTCTGCGCCTCATCTTCCTTGCCATGGTCAACACTGCCCCAGGTCTGACCTGAATCCACAGGGGTGGGTTATGGAGCCGGCAGTTCATCGGGGCTCCTCTTCCGGGCGACGCCTTTCCGCTGCCTGGGCAACCGGGGACGGTCATGCGCAGTGGGTCGCTGCGGCGCAGCTCTCCTCCCCTTCCTCCGCCTTTCCCGGAGCCGGCTCCGCCTGCGTAGTTCCTGCCGGGTTTTCCGGGCCGCTCTCTCCGTTCGCTCTCCGGAGTCTCCTCCTCGATGCTATTTTAAGTACAAAATCTAATAATCCTTGAGAAAAGGTTGCAAACTCCCCTTCCCCAGGGGCCAAAAAAGTGTACACGTGTATGAGGCCAAAGGGAAAGGCGGCCTCCGACTAATCCTAGAATGCATGCCCCGCCTAAATGCATTAAAAAGCAAACAAACAAACAAACAAACAAACAAAAAACTCCTGCTGGCCAAAAAAGCACAAGCAAAAGCATATCTGCCAGTCATACAGCCGGATCATCTAATCATAGATCGCGTGTTAGGTTAAAACTCAAATTCTGAAACCATCCTGCAGGACTCCTGCTTGACACGGCTCCTACCTGTTTCTCCAGCGTCATCTTGCACAGCCTTCTGTGCTTTAGCGTTTTGGACGATCTTGCAGTTTTCCAAATCACGGCTTCTCAGGTCCTCGTCCTCGTCCCACTCCGAATGGCACAGCAACACCTCTTTTCTCTATTTATAGGATTAATTACTAATCCTCCTTCAAGTCCCATTTTATCAGGAAGAGCATCATACCCACCCTGTTCCCAAACACTTCACAGCCTTCCTTTCACGGTTTGCAACTGTCTGTTTGTATGCATATTTGATAATTGCCTCCGCATCGCCTCCCCCCCACCCCCGGATAAAAACTCCATGAAGGCAGAAATCATGTCATTGTTGCCCAGCGGTCAGCAGGTACCTGATACATAGTGTGTTCAATAAAATCTTTGTTAAATAAATGTATTGAATAGCTGTGGAAACAAATAAGTATTACCTCACACAGGTCCACTCCTGGATCTTGTGGAATAAGTACTCCAAGCTCAAGGAACTCCAGTCTTTTCTACTTACTGAGCCCCCCAAATTAGGCTGCCACTCGTGATACATTCTTTTGCAACAGACTTTTTAAAAATATTGCAGTTTTATTAACAACTATCCTCAGAAATTTTGAAATGTTAACTCCAAAGATTGACTTTTTCTAGATCTTAATAAATATCTGAGTCTAGGTCTTAGTAAATACTTGAGATATTTTTCAAGAGAATGGGTTCCCTTGCTCAGTTCCCTCTGTGTGTGTGTGTGGCAGGGAAGGGTGTTATTTAAGTCTAGCCAGATATATTTAGTATTTTTCAAAAAACGTTCACTTCATGGCAAAAAGTCTGAAATGTTCAAAAAGGATCTTTCAGATATGAGCAGCTTCATATAGAAGATAGAGCAAACCCAACTTCTTTTATTCAACTCAAATCATATTTTATCACATAATGTTAGTGTTTAAGAAGAGGTAATAGATAATTTGTGGTTAATTCCAGGTAATTTCCAACATCTCAAGGGCTCAAGATTTTCATTTTTCATTTTTGTTTTGAAAATCTCTCTCATTCCCTGAAATATTTACACATTCATATTTACCCACAACTCATTATAATACACATTTTTCCTCAAAACACTGAGCAAGGAAGCTATACTTTAAAGTATATTCATATCTTTTGATATGCTAACTATCTGGAATAATCTGTCTCAATATTTTTTTAAAATACTGTTGTAAATACCTCAATTTTATAAAAATAACTTTATCCTAGAAGCAAGTAAATTTGCTAAATTAACCAATTTCCTTGTAATAACCATCAGGACTCAGTAAATTGTTTAACATTCTAATACGTGTATTATCTACAGAAGTAAAATAGCTCAACAGCACTATCATTATCAACTAAGATTCATGAAGACAGAGGGCAAAGTTTGTTTTTAAATATAGAAGCTACTACTCTTGTATAAACCTTATAATTTTACCTTTCAAATCTAAATCTATCACAGAGTAACATTTAAAGGTGACACTACTTAAAATGTTCACTCTTGTTATCAGTTTTCTCTGTATGAAATAAAAATAATATTTGCCTTCTGTCTTGAGAATTGTCAGTGATGTACATGTGAAAAGAAAATCTCAACGTTCCAGAAGCAGTACTGGTAAAAATATATATTCCTTATTGTTTAGAGATTCTGAAGAGAATTGTGAACAAGTGTGATGTCTTAAACTAATTTTTTTTTTTATTTAGATGTTTCAAGTGAGAGAAAAAGAAACACAAAAACCAGGAATGCGTAAAGGGGAAAAGGGAGTAGGGAGTTGCAACTTTCTATCTTATCTAAAATCTTTTTTACTATCCCAGCGGATACAAGTCACTATACTTAAAGATTTTATCAAGATTTTTCAGAGGGGAAAAAAATGTAGTGTGTCATTTTAAACTTTTTTTTGTTTGTTTCTATCAGGAAGAGAAAGATCAAAAAAATTGACAGGAAATATTTATAGCCTGCCCAGAAAATTCCTAGAAACATTTCAGTATCTCAATAACTTAGTTACATAATTGCTTCTTTAATTAGCAAATATCTGTGAACTTTTTTTTGCAAAACTGAAATTAATTACTTAAAACTAAAATTAACTAAAGCTAAAAAAAAAATTACCTAATCAACATTCAAGTGTGCCAAGAAAATACTGCATTTTTATTTTCCATTATTAATGTAATCTTCTTTACAAGTTCTCACTCATTTTTGTAGCTATGGAAAACATTAACCTTGATAGTCAATGATATCCTAGGTATATCTATGTCCATCAGTCTCATTCAATGTTAATATGATTTCCTAACAGAACTATTCCTTCCTTCCATATTCTTTTTCCCAAGATGGCGCTTTGTGGAGTAGAAAACTTGATTATCTTTGGGGTATTTGGTGTAGGGGCCCTAACTTTGTGCAGATCTTTTTGCTAGTCTCCACTGCAGAGTGCAAGTGGTCCCTGGTCATATGCTGTTTTCCACCAACGCACAGATAGTCTGGTTCTTTCTAGGATCCTGACAAAAATCCAAAGCTACGAGAACTTGTCAGAACCTCTCCAGGCTATCTTGTCTATATCTTGACATCCACAGGTACTTCGGTTCTTTGAACAGCCTGCTGAGAAGCAGTAGAGATAGAGAGGAATGTGGTCTGGCACACACAGCATAGCCTAGAACCCTTGTCTCCTTGCCATCACGCAGGCGACTTCCTCTGACAAGCTCTTCTTCCAGAAATCTCAAGCATCTTGGCATCTCTTAGGGGCTGATTGGAATATTGGGGTCCTTTAGAGACCATATTGTGGCTGAAAGTTGCCTGGGGTCATGGTGGGAGGTGATAAGAAGGAAAGAGATAAATCAAGTGCTTCCAGCCTAACCATGCTGTGGCTCTACTTATACCGTCCTGCTGTCACTGTCTCTTCTCTCATAGTTCTTAATGCGGAGCAGGGCAAAAGCTCTTCCAGCCTTCCCTCAACAATCAGATATGGTTTGTAGCTATGGGGCTCAACCTCAGAGACAGGTGGTCAATACAAATCAGTCTTCCTCTCCGATTCCATCTCTCTCTCATTTCTCTTTCCTTGGCGGGAGAAGGGCAAGCTTTTCTTCCTGTCTGGCAAGCACTCCTCCTCCAAGGGATCATAGTGGCCTCCTTGCCAAGGTAACATTTGGCCTGTACCCTTTCCTGGATCCGTTGTGGTAGACAGGGTACCAAGAGGGAATCTAGTTTATGAATAAGGGAAATTAAGTTGACAGAACCTTTGAAACAGCCTACGCTTTACGTAAACTCTGCAACACTGTGCTTGGTTCTGTGAGCAAATGAAATATTATTTCCTATCCCACGGGGCTAAGTTGAATGTATCAGAAATCTCACTCTGAGAAACCATTTTTGTGGAGTAAGGAATTTTACATCACTCATGATAAAAAATGATTTCAATTTACAGTGCACTGGTTGTTCTTCATATTTAAAAAATGTTTTACCAGACAAATATCTCAATCTTTTCGTTCTTTTTTTTATATGTCTTCAGTTTTATTACTTTTCTGAAATTGATTTATTGCCTTATGAAGAGTTGCCTCTTACGTTAATAGCTATTGTTTTGCAAAGATGACATGTGTTTATTGTAGTTACTTTAAAAGATAAAAACAAGCCACAAATATTGATTTTAAGTAAAAGTTACCTGAATTCTGACCTTCCAAATATAATCACTATAAACACTTATAAAACATTTTAATACTTTTCCTTGAATAATTTTTAATAGAACCTAGATTATATTGGACTGTGGTTTTATGAACTCTATTCTTCATTACCAGTAACATGAACACTTTTCCATTCAATTTATAAACATTGTTTTTCAACATAATTTTAAAGGTAGTATTGCATTATTTGATTTATTTAACTAATAAAACTATTTAAACATAAGACATTTCCGGTTTTTTGCACCTAAAAATTATTGGAATAAATATATTTCTAGCTAAATCTTTATACACATTCATAGCTATATATTGAGGATAAATTCTAAAAATTGTATTTGGTAGGTCAAAATGTGTGTGTAATTTTAAGACTTCTGAGATAGCTATCCTCTCTCTTCACTTTTTTATCCTTCCCTCCTGCAGTATTAAAAATTCCAAGATATAATATTATTTTGTCCATGATAACACAGTTTATATTGCTAGTAGGCCTTTTTAATAACATAGCCATATTATTGTGACTGTCACATCTAAAACATAATAATTCCTTAATATCATTTAATAATTATTCTATATTCAAATTTTTCTCATTGTCTCAAAAATCCTTTTTACGAATTGAGTTCCCATAATCAGGGCCTGAACAAGGGCCATTCACTGCATTTGGCTGACATGGTTCTCCTGTCTTGTAGTCAACAACACTTAAAAGGTAAAACAATTTTAAAAACTAAAAAGAAAAAAAGGAGCAGACAGAGAAGTTTGACTTTTTTCTCTGCATTTGTCATGTTCCCTACTTTAATAATTCAGCATACTCTACACATTGCTTTATACCTGTTGTTTGTTTGTTTTTTTCTCCTAAAAATATATCCTGAATATCACTGCACATCAGCTTAGAGACGTCTTCTGCATTTCTCTCTATGACTGCATGGTTTTCCATTATGGGAATGTTATTCCCACATTTTGATGTGCATTTTGTGATTATAAAAGAAAATTTTTTTTTGTATTTTTGGAGGTG